GGGAAATGGAAGGAAAGGAGAAGCGAAGAGGAGATGAAGGAAAGAGGAATGGGAGAAAGATATAAGAGGGTAGGAAGGAAGAGAGAAAGAGAGGAAAAGAAGGGAATAGTGAAGAGGAAGAGAAGAAGGAAATGGGAAGGAAAAGGAGACAGAGAAGGGAATAATGAAATAATATGAAGAGTGGAGAGGAGGATGGGAAGAAAGGAAGAAGGAGGGAAGTAGAAGAGAGTGGAAAGAATAGGAATAAGAAAAATGGAAAGACTACGGAACCCAGGAAGGACGGAAGAGAGTGAAAAGGAAGAAAAGAGAATAAAGAAATTATGAAGAAAGAAGTGAGGGAGAGAGAGACGAAAGAAAGAATTGGATAATCCAAGGCTGAAGAAAGGAGGAGGAGAGATTAAGACAGAGAGAAAGAGGAAGAGAGAAGGAGAAAAGAAGAAAAGGGAAGGACGACGAATGAAATATGAAAAAAAAATAAAATGAAGAAGAATGAGAACAAGAGGAGGAAGAAGAAATGAATACGTTATCCAACAAGGAAGCAAGTGTTGGCGACAGTGGAATTGCAAAACAGAGAGAAAATGAAGTTATAGGACTGCCACGCAAGATATCTTAAACGTCATGTCCCTAATCTCTCTCTCTCTCTCTCTCTCTCTCTCTCTCTCTCTCTCTCTCTCTCTCTCTCTCTCTCTCTCTCTCTCTCTCTCTCTCTCTCTCTCTCTCTCTTCTCGCTCTTTCTCTCTCTCTTCTCGTTCTCTTTCTCGCTCTCTCTCTCTCTCTCTCTCTCCCTCTCTTTCTCTTTCTCACTCTCTCTCTCGCTCTCTCACTATCTCTCTCTTTCTCTCTATATCTCGCTCTTTCTCTCTTTCTCTCTTCCTCTCTCTCTCTCTCTCTCTTCTCTCTCTCTCTCTCTCTCTCTCTCTCTCTCTCTCTCTCTCTCTCTCTCTCTCTCTCTCTCTCTCTCTCGCTCTCTCTCGCTCTCTCTCTCTCTCTCTCTCTCTCTCTCTCTCTCTCTCTCTCATCTCTCTCACTCTCTCTCTCTCTCTCTCTCTCTCTCTCTCTCCTCTTTCTCTCACTCCTATCCTCCTCCTCCGATCTTTCTTTTCCCCCTTGTTCTCTCATCCTCTCTATATTTCACCTTCTCTCTGTCCCTTTTTTCTCCCCTCTCTATTTCCCCTCTCTTTCTCCCCTCCCTCCCCCCCCTCCCCCTCTGCCTGGAGCATCATCCACCATATAATTATCATGTTGTCATGTAATTATCGTCTCAACATTTTAATTTTTTTTTCTTTGTTTAAATTTCCCGATTTTTTTCTTATATACTTTTTTTTTCTTTCTTTCTTTCACTCCCTTTCTTTTCTTCTCTTCTCTTTTTTTTTTCTCTTGGTGTATTATCTTTCCATTGCAAAAAGAATGTGGTTTAAAAAATCGTCAGTTTTTTTTTTTTTTTTTAAGTTTTTAAAAGATTATCTATATTATGATAATGTTGTTGATATGAATAATAACATTGATGATGATAGTGATAAAAATGATAATGATGAAAAAGAAATAATAATAATAATCATTATTTTTATTATTATCAATATTATCATTGTTATTATTATTATTATCATTATCATCATCATTATAATAACAATGTTAATGATGATAATGATAATACTAATGATAACAATGATAATAATAACAATCATACTACTACTACTAATGATGATGATAATAAGAAGAAGCACACTGAAAATAAGAATAAGAATAACAATAGTAATAATAATAAAAATCAAAATGAGAATGAAAATTATAGTCATGATAATAATAGTGATAATAATAAAAAAATATAATAATATTAACAATACTACTACTACTGCCAATAATAATGATAATAATAATGATAATAATAATAATAATAATAATAATAATAATAATAATAATAATAATAATAATAATAATAATAATAATATTAATAATAATAATAATAATATTAATAATAATAATAATAATAATAATAACAATAATAATAATAATGATAATGACAATAATGATAATAATGATAAAGATAATACTAATAATAATTATAACAATAATAATTATAACAATAATAATAATAATGATAATACTAATGATAATGACAATAAAAATAAAATAATGTTAACAACAATAACAAAAATAATAATAAAATACAGACACTAATAAAATCATAATAATGATTATAATGATAACAACAACAACAACAACAACAATAATAATAACAATAACAATAATGATAAGAATAATGATAATAATAATAATAATAATAACAATAATAATAACAATAATAATGATAATAAAAATAATAATAACAATGATAATAGTAACAGTACTGTTCCTCCCCCACCACCATCCCCCCCCCATCCCCGATCCCCCATACTTCCACCCCCACCCAGCCTCCCCCCCCCTCCTCCCCGCGTCAATTCATAGGCCTATAAAGATTCCTTTCGCCGCATAATTACGTCGAAAGAATCGCAGTTGCTGC